AGAACATATTTTTGAAGTCTACTTAACAAGAGCATTCTCATTTACGTTCTTAAACTGTTTTATTTCTTATATTTATCAAACAATATAAAAATCTTTAGAGACTTTTATAGCTTTTACATTTACACATTCAGTTCGCAGTAATTTTTTCGTTATCCAAAAAACCATACACAGTCATAAACGTCAGTATTCTTCACATAATTTTCCATTACGCGCAGTACAATCTACCCACACGTCTAAAGTAATTTACAAACAACTTTGTATTCAACATTACCTCATTCCTTTAATTTATAATTACTACGAAGAATACATAAAACATAAGAGAATGTTTTCTTAATTTGAGTAAAACATGGACACATGAGTACGACACTAATTGATTTCAGTAGAGGTACTAAATTAGATAATATTACGATCTGAGACGAAGGATACGTGACCTTTTACTACTGAATAGTTACAGATAATCTAGATATTGCAAACTAACCAAAGACAATTCCATTAGATACATGTATGTACAATAGATTTTATGCTTTAATTACATTAACAGGGAAGGCTTTTTGTGTATTAACGTGGGATATTCTTTGCATCCCTTTCATTCTATTTGGAGAAAAAAAATATAACAATATGTTTTAATACAAGTAATTTCGCAGTAGAAAGTCCTTGAAACAAGCAAGAAATTTTGCAGACATATTTACGTGGGCTTAAGCAAGGCCAATAGTTTGGGTTAATTACTTTTATACAAGTATAGGATCATCGACTCTTCGCCTACGACAAGTCGGCACCGAACTCACTAAATACACTACTCTTCCATACAACTACCATACTATCAGACGTCATATTTGGAGTCAATGCCTTCTTACACATGACCACATACAATAGGATAAAAATAGACTAAGTTCAAATGAAATCGAATATTAAAACTGAAAATTAAACACTTATTTAGCTCTCTGTATCCTAAACACAAAACTTGCGTTCACAGCCGTAGGATACGAGAATGTATGAAACAGTAAAATTATTTTTGTTGTTAGCATTTGTAGCCGTTTTTGTTTGTAATCAAGGTACTGTTTGAAAGCATCTTTTTTCATAACTCTTACAACAAAGGCCAATGAATGATTGAGGTTCAACGATGAAGAAGGTAATTTTGAAGTACAAAGGATACTATCGCCCGCTGCTAACTGCACAGGAAAGAAACAGTAAAGTTAAAAGGATGTGCTACAAATCAAAACATAAATGTTCTTTAATTATAATGAAGTAGCTGTCGCCCGCGACTCCGTCCGCGCGGGATTAAATAAATCTTAATTAGTAGCCTATGTGTTCTTTCACACTATGTTCTACATCTATTCCAAATTTCAGCGAGATACATGAAGCCATTATAGAGAAACCTTCTAAAAGCCATGCAACCATCAATCCATCCAAACATTCGCATCGATAATATTAGTAAAATATGAAATAAATTTTCGCCTGAACATTGTTAATAATAAAAATAATTACCCTGCAAATTTTTATATAAGTAGTTAATATTTTTTATTACAATAATGTATAACAAAGAGAGCGAAATAGGTTATGTGTAGAAAAGTAACCACTTTTGTCCCCATTTAAATTTCTGTGTAGAAGGATCGCTAATGTAATAACCCCCAAAGGGTTGAAACAATTTAAAAGGGTACGTCGCTCTAATGTAGTAGTTATTGAGATGAAAGTTAAATGCATGTTTCACCACTTATTCCATCGTATATTCTACACTAGCTGTCGCGCGCGACTCCGTCAGCACGGCATTAAACAAAGACCTAATTACTAATTATGTGCTTTTGTGTTCTTCTAGACCGCTCTACATCTATACATTTCTGCAAGATCCGTTAAGCTGTTCTGAATATACCTTCTATCAAACATCCATCCATCCATTAATCTATGTAATTAAGTAAAATAGTAAGAATCAATTAACTGACATATGAATCTATCGCAATTTTATGACTAATAAAATTTTTGTTTTATTTTAAAATTCGAAATAATATAAGCTACAATTAATCGGCTGGAAATAATAGATACAGTCGAATATTATAAAATAATTAATTTCTACTAAATTATTTTACCAAAAATTTTAGCTTTTATTTTTTAATTTTAACACATCTAAATATAATATTCGTAATATAGTTTTGGCAGAATATTGATATATGTGCCGATCACGATGCGACGATATCATCTGCGCGTATTCCTCGAGGGATATTTACTGAATGTCGCCTATCTGTGGCTAAACGTTTAAAACATAAGATGTAGCGATTTTTACTTGTTTTAACAAAATATGATATGTTTATATTATTTAAATAACCTAAATCTAATCTAATATCCTAAAATATACATAACCTATAAAATGTTACGTCAGTTTCAAGCATCATGTTTAGTAAAATTTGTTCTGTATTATATAGAGAAAAGTAAAATGTTCTTACAAAAGTACGAACATCAAATAGTAAATTTACAATAAAATAACAATATTTTAAAGTGTAATTTGAATATCTTTTATTTATCTTTTATTTGAATATTTTTTATTTTCCGTCTATTGGAATAAGGTAGCATGAAAAAAGGACGAGAAACTTTTTAGTCACGAACAATATCATATGATAATAAATAAAATCACTTACCCTTATACAAAACATTCCAAGTTCAAAAGAAGTCTATTACGGTCACTTTTAACTTTATTTATCACTTAACACTTTTAATTGTATTTTTAATAATGTCAATAATTTTGCTACACAACACAACCGCATCACAATATTTCAGCAACTGATGATTTGACATTTGAGTATTAATCATTGACATTTGTATTCTGTTTTAAGTATAAAAATGTTATAATAAATTAGTATTAAAAAAAAAATATTCAAGCTAAAAATAAAAAGCAATAAGTTTATAATTTATGGTCCCGCGCAATAATGTATATTGGCAGAGAAGGACATCTCAGAAAGCACATTTTGTGTGAAAAATATTAACTTGTCGAACGCAAAACAAGAAATAATGAAGCAACATTTTTCTAACTTAGTACACATGCTATGGTGTACATGGAATAAATGTCAATTTGTTCTAAATTATATGATTTTTCATAAGAGCGATTGTCGTTTGTCTGTATTCGATAAAAATAAACCAAAATTTTATCAATGCTTATAAAACAAAAGACTGTTAGAGTTTGATAACTTTCCTATAAATTCAAGTTAATCTTTTCTGTCCCAAGTTTTTTGTGACGTAAGATTAATTGAGAGAAGAGATTATAGATTTTAATTTTCTTTTTACCTGTCTCGCTTGTTTCAGATATTTAAGACTTCTCTACAGCGTTTTTGTGTGATAAAATTTTGTATTTCAGTAATATCTACGCAATATTTACCTAAAATTCAATTGATAATTATATATGACATTAATTATAATATAATTTACAGGGATATTTTGTACAAATTAGTATCATCTTGTTTTTCTATATTTTATTATACAAATTTGAAATTTTGTCATATTTAACAAAAGTTGTTTTTAAACTGGCTTATTTTAGGCATTGAAATTTATTAATTGATTTTTTCTAAATTGAGGCGAACTAGGAATTTGAGTTTTCTACTCTGGTTTTGTACAACGCCATCTGTTGACAGTTCAGTTTAACATCGTCTTATTTTACACGACTCCATGGAACAGTCTTAGAAGAGGAGTTTGTTGTAGTACAGTCACGAGATGGCGGATAGTGTGTCTCACGATTTTTTTTGATTAATCTTGTACTTATTAGAGTAGTTTTATAGAGGGCGTGATATAAAAGCTTTGTGGTTGGAAGGGTGAAAATTTGGCTCATTCTCTGAACCCAGAGATACCTGTTAAGTGGGGATCTTGTTAGCAAAGAAGTTGTCTTATGGCAAAAAAGTACGATATCGCAGGTCTTCGACATTTCATTAAATCGTAATCCTAAAAAATTAGTTACTTCTTCGATAATGAAGAGTTTTGTTCGGGAAAATTATATTTCTATACATTAACAATATTTTCTTTTAAAAAACCAAGTGTTGTGTGTTTAAAAAGCAACTGGTTGTTAATTTCCAAAAAAAAAATCGTTAAATTCTGGAATACCACTAACACGATTATAAGCATGAAAGAAATTAAATTGTTTATGATCTCCAAACATATATTTTCTTCGAAACCTAGAACTCCTTTTGAATATAACTTATTGATATACCCACTTACACTATACACACACAAGCACAAATACTCTATATTGTTTCATTAATTAAAAGTTAATAATAAAGCACAAATATTTAAAGCAACCATAAAATTGGTGGCTAGTATTGTTTTTGTGATCGAAATTTAAATTAATTTATACCCTCCTTCAATTTAAATTCCGACAGCTTTAGTCTGCTGCAAAAACAACAGTAACATGTTAACAATTAGTCCCTTTAACAACTGATTCACGAGCTTATTAAAAATATATCACATTGAAATCGAAAGTCACTTTTAAGTATGTTATAAACAATTAAAAGTAATTTAAATAAATACCTATTCAGAAAAAACATCTATAATAAATGAAATTTGCACACAACTATTTGACTTCTATCGCTTTACTAAACTAGTTACATTGCATTACCAGTAAAATAAATCATTCGAATCGATGACATCAATCAAAATAACAAGGCGATATTCTCCCCGAGGGCTCATCATAAGCTTTTAGAGATCTTTTGTGCGATAAAAACCTCTCATACAACGTGTTATCAAATAAAAGAAAGGTGTGAATTTTCACAGCCGGTGTTCGAGGCCCCACCTACTTAAGATGGCGCAGTCCCCTCCATCGGTTGATCAGCCAGTAGCGTTAGAGTATCACAGCGAGGTCATACCTACAGCCTCCGGTAACACTCGACCGGTGCCACCTATTTTCGAAACTAATTATCAGCGCGAGATCGCAGAAGAGAGAAAATTTAGTACCCTCACAACTTCAATGGTAGATGACCATTCATCATTAGTTGAAATTAGTCATGAAGAAAATTATATAATCAGTTAAAATGAACTCGATTAATTTTATATCGAGCACATGCGACGATTCGGATTCAAAAGTTGTCGAAAGACGTAATAATTTCTCTGTCGAAAAAGAAGAATCACTCGATTGTGAATCGGAAACTGAATATGATAGTGAAAATGAAACAATTGATGTGTTATGTGAAAACAGTGGAATATCATCAAGAGATAGTACGCCACAATTTAATACTCTATCAAACCCGTTTGTTCGACCCGACGGAGTTTTCCTTTTCGAGCAACATCTTGGTGTGTACACTGATAAATCAGTGCCTAAAAAAACAATACGTGATAAAAGTGCTACTGTGAATTTTAGTGAAAGAAACAAATTAAATAGTTCAAGTGACACTAAAAGTAAAACTTTTCTTATAGACGATATTTTGGGTAATAATAAAAACCACAGTGTTTCCGGTGATAAGTCTACAAGTCAAGAAAACCGTGACAGCCCGGAAGAAAATGCTGATGAATATAATGGTACGTACCATTACCGAATACCGCAAATTGTATATCTCAGTTATCTCCTGTCTTTTATGTGTTAGATAACATTTTTAATATTAGTATTCTAAAAATGAATTATAGTTCTTCCATTTTCCTATAAATAAATGAAAATTATTGCATAATTAACGTGAAAAACCTAAACTATGAAAAAGTTATACAAGAAATGCCTATAAATAAATACGTACTTTTCTTGGTACCTTAAATTTATAATAACTATCTATTATTTTTTCCGTATCACCTTTTCTTTCATTTTTACTGTGTTCAATTTTGTATATTTTGCTCAACTTTACGCTTGTTATGTTAGGCAAAATTTTAGAGAAATATCTTGGGTAGAAAATTATAAATTACTTCTGACTATTTATGATAGTTTTTCACCAAAATCAAAACAAAATATAATTACCATATTGTTTTGTTGCAGTATCATCAACATCGACTTGTCAGGAACTAACGGCCCTAAACAGCGCGGAGCTGCTCGCGGGGCATGCGTACGCGCACTGGCTCGCTACACACCAACCATCCACCACCTTTTATGGTAAATCTTGCACTATTGTCTTACTTTATGTCCACATTAACCCTTGACAACTATATACTGTACTGTAACCGTTTACCGTCGGTAATGTGAATATGTACAAAAATGCGTCATTTAAAAAAAACTTGCGGTTTTAATGAATGTTAAGAAAAGTGTTAGAAATAAATACCAGTTGTTTTCTTAAATCCGCATCTTAATCCTGAGATCTTTTCTTTCTGTGCATCCTCTGCTCCGTCGATTAAAGGTAGGCAACGCATATGCAATTGCGTATGACTATGGGCAACGGTCACTTCGCTATTTCAGCGATTTTAGGTGGCCGCTCGCTCGTTTACCACCTTATGATATAAAAAAAAAATCTTAGGGATTAATGAAAAAAAAGAAGCGTAGATCACGTATTATTATATAGATATTTAAAATGCATTTTGCTTATTCCATTTTAAGCGTACATTATGTATAGCAGATAAAAAGCGCAAACCTGCATTAAATCTGAGAGCCCATCCGCTATTCATTATTTCATGTATATCAGACAGATATTCATAATTATTGCTACCACTTTACAACAGCATTGCAAGCAACCTGTAACACTTGTGTTAAAACATATTGTCATTTCTCTCATACGCTATGAAAATAACAGAGATAACAATGTTTTTGTATAGATGCTTCGACAGTGTAAACCAAACGTAACAACATTGCGTGACGACAAACGAGTGTAATTGTTCTCACGCATCACTCCGCCAACGCACACGCAATCATCCCTAAACTCTAACACTTCTCCGCTCATATTTCACTTACATTTGCGTGTTTCATTAATTACGCGTATATTCATAATTGTTTATACACACTTTACTTAAATAGCAATATAAATATTTTGCTTTATAAAGTGCTTAGCCGTTCGTTGCTTCGTAGCATCCCGTAAATTAGCCTTTTTTTAATTCTTCCAAACAAATAGCTCTAAAGAAATGCTGCAATACTGTTAGTAGTAGAATCATCTGCCTCAAGAAGTATTTTCAAAACAAGTTAGGTTTTTGAAGAAGACAGCGCTTTGGTTTCAAAAAGACTGTAGCGCATTTAAAGTTGTTTATAACATTTTAGACATCTATTTTTTCAAGATTTTACTGCTTTTAAAGATCTACTGGAATGACAAAAAAAATAGAAGACAAGTTCCTTTACTCATAACAAGGTCTTACCACACTGGTAGTTTGGAATACGTGACAAGTCCGATTAACAAGATTTTTTAGTTATTTTGTTTGCGTGCCCGCGTAGACCGCACCTCGAACACATTTCAGTGGCTATAAATTAGTGTGTGGGTGCCATGTCCGGGAATGTCGGTCGGGACCGAAACCGGGGGTACGGAGGTCCGAGCGGGGGGTCCGGTTATAAACCGAAAACTGATCCTATCGATTCAATGTGTTATCGTATCTTCAACACACGAATCACAATTATGAATAATATATCGTGTCTCTTTAGCTGTATCGATCGCTAAAATATATCAAACTAAGATCAACAAATGCAAATCCTAATCTTAATTGTATATTTAACTTGTACATTTAAAGGTAAATATAGGTTTACGAAACTGGCGAATTTTCAAGACACAGATCGTTTATTTAATTTAATCATTTATTAAAAAAATAAATGTAAACGGTCAAAAAATGTCAGAGCTCACTAATATGTAAAACTAATAAAAGGTTCACGTCGCGGTTCTCGCGATAGTTGGAAGACGTTCGTCGAATTGTCGCGACGAGTGACGGTGGTCGAGACTTCGCACCGAGGTGTTGACAAACAGCTGCCGCGACGATAATCACCAACAAAGCCAATGCCTATTTGTACACTTCCTTAACGATCTGTAGCTAGAACAGCGCCCGATACCACTTTAATAGATAACACCAACTACGCCTTCTGGGACATTTCGATATTTGTATGATATACATCCACCGAGTAATTAATGCGAGAATTTATTTTTGGAAATCAAAACAGGTTACCACTGGAAATCATACGTATATTGTTAAATACATTTTACTATCTTTGCGTTGCGGAATTTCCTAATAGATTTCCATGAAACAGTGCTCCTTCGAATGTCGCCTAAAATACCTAAGTCTCTTGTTAGACTAAAACATTAAAAACACATCATGTTTTATACACAAAGTTCATCAACCAAATCATAAGAACCGTAAGAAAATACACCTAGTTGCTTTTTACCGAGTTTTTCATGTACCATAATTCTCTGTAGCCATTTCTAATTCTCTTTTCTCATTTAAATTTGCACGTATTTTACTTTCTGCACATAAAACCCTATATGCACATCGTGCATAAAATAAATACAATGCACCTACGCATATTTTTTAATCGATTTTGTTATGACCAGTTCAAATAAGAAAGGTTCTTGTAAATCGTAATACCGCTTACGTAAATCGTTAGCGGTCTGTTAGCGCGGCCATCACGGGCCATACACTTGCCACAATGCTCTGTTGACTCCGCAACGACAACGACATGCGACTCGACAAACTGCGCGGGCGCAGCGCAAACACTCTGATTGTGTTTATAGCCACTTAACGAGAACCTGCGACAATTCCGATTAGTATACACGAGAAAAAGTTCACCGTGTATTTGTCTTAAGTGAGAGTAGCTACTTTGTAAATGGGCCTTGTTTTATTACCATTTAAAGGTGAACTTTCTTAACGTAGTAACATTTTGACACTTATGATATGCATATTACTAGTTTTACGATGACATTATTACTAAGGTGTCGCTAAATATTTTAGACAACAACCGCTACGAAGTTATAGAAAACTAAGATTGACAACTTAACTTTGTTGTTCAATGTTAATTGGTCACATTTTTCGTTCCGTTGGCTCGGCATTAAAAAAACTTTTTAGACGACATCTACTAGACTATAAAAAATAAACCTCGGAGCAGATAAGTAATGCTATATTTATCTTGTAGATGACAAAAGCAACAGACGACCCAGAAGAGCTGGACCGGAACGCAAACCGCGACAAGCATACAGCGCTAAACAACTCGAACGACTCGAAGCGGAATTCAAAATGGATAAATATCTCAGCGTATCCAAGAGAATGGAACTATCTAAAGCACTCGGTCTCACAGAAGTACAAATAAAGACGTGGTTTCAAAACAGAAGAACGAAATGGAAGAAGCAGTTAACGTCGCGTTTAAAGATAGCCCAGCGTCAAGGTATATTTCCTGGACAAATATTCGGGCATAGTCATCAGGCTTATTCACTTTTAAATCCTTACGCCTACGCTCCACTAGGTTGTGTATTCACTCCAGTGACTTTACCGTCTACGCCATAAATTAATGAAAAAAAAACAAACTAATTATCTATGTATCTAACCTTGTGTCAATTTAGATACACACAATTCGGTTTCATTAGGCAAAGTATGAAATATTAATTTCAATAATAACTTGATAATATAAGAAATGTAAATAAAATTAATGTCTAAACTTGCCATAAAAATGTGTTATAAATCACAATATTTTATTATAATCTAAACGCTTTTAGAACGAACAAATATTTTAGACTTTAAGAGTGAATACATAAAATATAGAATAATACTTTGTGTATATAAATTGAATATAAATTTAATACATATGTATTAATTTATAAAAGAAAATGTAGGTCGTAATTAAGGGCATTATTTATTCATTTATTTCATTAGATCTCATTGTAACAGTATTAACAAAATTATAATTCAAAAGTTGCAATTTTTAAAAATCTTGTAACAATAATGTCGGTCAATTTTTTTTCATAAATTAAATCGTGTTGTTATTAATCTTACTTTTTAATGATATTATAAATGCGAATGTTTAGATGGTTGGATGTTTGTTTGAAGGTATCTCCAGAACGGTTGAACGGATCTGGCTGAAATTTGACATAGACGTAGAACACAGTCTGCAAGAACATAGTTTACTAATTAGGCTTTTAATTCCGCGCGGACGGAGTCGCGCAAGACCGGTAGTAATATATAAAATAATACTCTTTAACTGATCATTTTAAAAAAAAATATTTTAATAATACAAACTAAATATGGCTGATGATTTTATAAGTCGCCAGTATGTCACCGTATTTATGTTATCGTAATATTTGTGGCGTGTTAACAATTTTAATTATAGTGTGAAATATACATAATAATTGTATAACTCGCTACTTTTGGCACTTCGTATGTTGGTTTGTCCTATTTATCAGGTGTGAACACTGAAGTAGTTTGATTTGTTTAATGTCATGGTATTGATAAATATGTGAATTTGCTATTCTGACATTATAATACACCAGCGGTCGCTCGCGAATCCGTCCGCGAGGAATTAAAAAAAATGAGGAGCCTATGCATTCTTTCAGGCTATGTCTATATCTGTGCCAAATTACATCAAGATCCGTTAAGCCGGTCCGGAGATACCTTCAAACAAACATCCATCCGTTCCTCCATGAAATATTCGCATTCATAGTATTAGTAAGAAGTAAGATAAATATCTGTAATAAATATTTATTTCTTTTATAGAGTTTTTTTAATGGCGAAAGTATTTATAAAACTTATTCAAGTTTAATAATAGTTACATTACATATGAGTATAAAAATTAAGTTAGTTTTAAATAGTCACATAGTTAATGGCTTTTTCTTATTCAGGGCCGCGTGTAAAGTGGAATAATAGTATTCAAACATATCATTAATATTAAAATAAATAAATAATTCATTGTTAAAGTGTTGCTTTAGATATATTATTACATTTTTATTGTAATTCAATCTTACCATATTACTGTAATTAACATAAAAACTGTATACGACATAAATAAACATAGCCTTTAATATTATGCGCTTTTATTTCAAATTCTTAAATTTAATTACGTGATCATAAAACTTTGTAAAACAATATTAATGCACGATTATTATAGATGTTTTATTATTCAGTCTTTGTTACCAATATGTATACTTCTATGAGAGGCAATGGTGTTTGGAATACAGATGTTCGCAGTCCGCTCCGCCCAGCCCCAGTACGGCGGCACGCAGCGCACCCAGTCCGCCGCCACGCAGCCACGCCACACCACCACTGATTTACAACATATCAAGCAAACTTAAATTCAGCTATTGAGGCAATATAAAATAAACCGAGTCATTGGGCCCTCTGCTGCTGCCCTCAAATCTGTAAAGACCATACCACGGGACAAATTCATCTCCTACCTAAATTGAAATAGTCGAAATGAGAAACTGCACCCTCTTGGAATCGGTTGAAAAATTCTGTTTGCTAAAAGTTACTACAATAGTCTCGTGTAAGTATTTTTAAAATTGCGCTAGTCCAGAGATCAAAATCTTAATGCACTTTTGCCCTTACAGCTTCGTTTATGAAGGCGACTTATGTTTTAGTATAGAAAGGGAATCAATTAAGGATATCCACATAGTAATCAACAATCATACAACTGTAAACATTTTACGGCCCGTTTATTTTGATTGTAATCTCTCTTGATTCATTATACAACTATTATTTTACCATAGTTTTTAATTAAATACACTTACTGCCAAAGAGGTAGCCAGTAACGATTGGTATCTTCCATCTTTCTGGCTTGTTTGTTACCCAGACACAGCATTCGGTACAAACATTGAGTACCGCGTGGTTTTACCGCCATTAGTGCGTACCGGGTCAGCGTGTTGAGCGTCTTCAGCGTGTTGCGCGTGTTCCGTGCGTTGTGCGTGTTATCTTCAGTGTCACGTATGGCGTCACGCTTGGTACGGAACACATCGTCCACATTCACCGAGTCCCCGGTGTCCACCATTTGCATTACTTGGGTTTGTTGATCGCTCTATTAATAAATCAATAATTTATTTTATTTCTTTGTCATCTTACTTTTAGATAGGATTAGAAGGATCTTATTAGTATATTTATATGTGTACATTATAGGACTTTTCGAGAACTGGAATATAAACTACATCACACACGTCCAAATGGAAGGCAGGAAGCGTAAATTTTTCAAAATTAAATAATATTTAACAAGAGTAGAGAAAATCTAAGAAGTATGGTTTGATGGTAATCAGATCGTCAAAAGACGGGGGGATTAGGATAAAAAACTATGTGCAATTTGTTTAAAGAGTTTTATTATATTTTCTACTTACCATAGTAATACACATCAGCACTTGCAGTACAAACATACCGAAAGACAGAAAGGCGATTCCAGTTAGCGATATATCAAAGAGGTCGGAGATTCCCAGGCCGTGGTGTTCGCGCTCCGCCACGTACTCATAACCAACGCCATGAGGCTCTTGCGCTGCTGAGTGGTAGACAGGCGGCGGCGGCGGCGGCACTGAATACTCGTAACCACCACCTTTAAAGTCATATTTCAATATTCTAATTGCCATACTCAAAGTCCGTAAGGTCTCTTTTAGTGTAGTTATAGTATGAGAAATCTTTTAATGGCCTAATAACGATTCTGTACAAGGCAGTAAAACTACCTAAAACTGTCTTTTATTTAGTTTTATTTTATTTTATCGGACTTATAAGAAGGTAATTTTTGAAGATATGGTGTAGTATCTAGGTATGCAAGTATAAAAACTGATAAGGAGATAGGAAAAGGAAAATTTGTGATGAGAAAAATCGCGATCTTCTGATATTCCGATCATATTTCCGAGCACTTTCACCATTAAGCAGGTTGTGTTTTGTATGAAACCATGTTAACTTACCATGTTTTGAGACCTCGTAAGGTGTTCTGTCCGTCTCTGTCAATGCAGGTGTATCGTGGCCCTCAAATACTTCATACCCTTCTCGTTCTTGCACGTGCGGTTGAAGAGTGGGAGATATAGAAAGGTTATTTCTTCTTAAATCTTTCGTCACGTTATAATGTCGGTATAAATCATTAAGAGCGGCAACTCTATTAATAGAAGATTTACATTATGTTAGATTAGGTTTGATTTAACATCAATTGTAAAAAAAATCGCGCTAGTGTTAAAAAAGTTAGACTTAGACTTTGAAATTGTTTAATATACAGCTCATACTTAGTCAACCATTCCTGATAATTTGCCGAACCGATATCATTCATGACATTACTCCTTAAATCCTGCGACCTGGCCAATCCAATGCCGTCTTTTATATTGAAATTATAAGGTTTTCCAAGTCGGTTTTGTATTACAGATTTGCCCATCTCTTCCAAGATTTGTTCGGCGACGTAATTCCGACATTGATATTCATTCATCATTTTTCTGAAAAAAGTATTTAGCCGTTAATAATAATGAATAAATGCAAGTCTCCAACTATTTTTGCTGTGCCTAGTTAGGATAATATAATATTAATTAGTATAGTTCGGTGGTTAAAAAAGTATGGCTGCAAAGCCGCATGTGGCTCTTTGGCTCCTTAACGGCTTCGGCTCTGGCGTAAATAGTTCTTGCATTTAAAAAACTACGCTAGAAAAATATTAAATCTTTTTTTCAATTTCTTCTTCAAAAATTCTTCTATAAATCCAGGAAATGTATAATTTACATAAGATGCAAGCACATTAAAAGAAAAAGATCAATAATGTTTCATATTAAATGTTATGTTACGTAAAACAAAAGAAGACAAAATTAACAAGCAAAGTTAAGGGTTAAATAAATTAGTCCATACCTGTGGAAGTCTAGCATAGAAAATGCAGCATCTATAGATCCATTTACAGAAGGCAAAATATTTAGCGTGTCATTTGCAGAATTTTCCTTTTCATTTTCACCATTTACTATAAAGTACGTAGGCATTAAGTCATTACGTAGTATATCATCAACATTTAATTCATCGTCTAGCATTTTTAGACCCACTAAAATTCTAGAAAATATTAATAGCAAAATGCTAACTATTTCGTTTTTCATATTTAAACACGTACGGCACAACGATCAAGAGAATGACAAATAAATGCAAGTTCCCGTCATCATGAAGATTACATGAGTTACGGAGCAGAAAATATCACGTCGCCGATTTTATCATCATTGTTTCATTCTTCTAACTGTAACATGTTCACTCAACAGGATTAACAGTGGCTACTATAAGATTTTATGTCATTTATAACTAGAATAAAATTTAATTAAATCATTTTTATTGCAGAGGATCATTGATTATTATTGCAGAGAGCATTGGCAAAGGATGAATTAAAAAAGTATACTTCCAACTTTCAGAACATCATTTTTCTTTCAGATCTAATTTGTTTTTTTTTGGATCTTACTGAACAGGAAAAACATTTTTTTTTCAAAATCGCTAAAGACCACAACGTTATACTGTTTCCCGTTGTTTATAAATCGGGTTTCATATAATCTGATCACATTAAAAGTACTACAATTTCACCCCTGCGGCTCTTAAGTGCCTTACGCGGTGAGGGGATCCATTATAATACATATTATAAATGCTTCGATGTCATCCGCGCGACGTCTGACGTGAGAACAAACCAACCAGCCCCACCCATTAAATTTAATGCAGGTGTTCTTTGTACTTCACTTCCTCGACTAATATTTGAGTTTTTATACCTTTAAAGGTTTTTCAAATATTTCTTACGAAATGACAATAATTACACTAATAGCTTGTCACAGTCATCACAATTAGTCTGCCCTAATGCCTTCCACAGCATGCATTCCTAAGTTTATAAGTACTAATGAATGAATATGAATTGACAAAAGAGCAAGCGGTCATCTGAATTCGTTAGAATAACGATGAGACCAAAGTCAATGGACATCCGCATATGCAGATACGTTGTCTACCTTTAATCGAAAGAGAGGAAAGAAGGGATTTCCCATACAAATTTACTTCCCCTTCCCATTCTTTTCTTATACGAAGAGAGAGTAAAGAAAAGAGAAATGAAATTTTGTCTCCAACGAGCTTAATCATCAGACTAAGAGCGAAATTACTTTCACTTTACGCCTATCTTCTGTGGTTGTGGTATTGCACCAGGTGAGTCGGTGTATTCGTGCAACAAAATGTTTTTGCGGATTCTACCACTGACAATATAACAACAACATGACAATACTTATTTAGATTACGTTAAAACGGAATTACAACGAGATTTTGTACCCATATCTAATCACGTATTTTTTTTTTTAACATTCATAATTATAAGATTATTGTCTAATTGTTTAAAGTCTTTCGGTTATCCTCATTTGGTTTTTCTTGCTATAATTTATAATTTTTTACCACCCACTGTTTCTTAATTTCTAACATGGAAAAGTTCATGCTCTGTATCTAATTTAGTTATCTATGATCTATGCCTTTTTGCTTTATGGTACAATTTGACATTTAAAAATTTATCCTTCGATTCTAATTTCGTTGTTTTACGTCTTTGGGAAATAATAACATGAATTCAAGTTCTTTTACGTACTATTAGAATGTACATAAATCATTTATTGTGATTAATACCGCCAACAATGGGGACTAACGGCAACGGTCGACGCAGCGGCACAAAATTGCCCGACGTACGCCGCCCCATGGATGAAGGGGATTGTGTCAACGATATGGATAGCCCGGAGTTAGATTTTATTTACGACGACTGCGATTCCCAAGCAAATGAAATAGCTGAACTTTATAGTTACACCGAGCACCCTGAATTTCAGCTCAATGTGAAAGCGTTTGAAGACATCATGGAAGAGTTTAATTTCCCACCTAGTTGGCAAAGATTGACTCTACCGCAGCAGCGTACTGTAGTAATGAAACTATTAGAGCATTTGGATGTTGCAGTAAGTGATGTTCGTATGCGATCAGCTAGATGTATACTGTACTTAGCACAGGGCTGTTGGGCAGAAATGCAGTCTGATGCAGAGCAAGCTCATTGGGCACGTCTTAATATCATGACACTCTATGAAATGGGAACATTTGCTGCATTCATCGAATTATTGAATCTCGAAATCGTTAGAAGCAGTTCTGCTATGGCATCAAGAAAAATAGCAGAGTCCCTTCCCGATTCTACCAATCTTCGAGTTATTTTGTCTGTGTTGTATTTAATAACAGAACACATGAGAACAGAAAAAGAGAACCCTGATTCAGAATATGCTTGTTTAGTGAAAAACTTTAAAGAAGAACTTGGCACACCATTTGGTGAGGAACTGTTGCCAGTAAAATTATTAAGTATGGTAACACATCTTTGTGCAGGAACAACACCTTATTTTCCAATGAAAAAAGTATTATTATTGCTGTGGAAAGTTTTGCTTGTTTACTTAGGTGGTTCAAAAGAGTTAAAGGAGAGAAAAGCCAGATTACGAGACTTATATGGCTTGGCACCTATTAATGAAGATACTCTTGAAATAATAAAGGGAATGCGAGCCAGTTCACCTCCGCCTAGTGCTGCTGACATGCTGGAAAACCAAAACCCAGGACAAAGAAAACTCAAAGAAAATGAAAGGGCTCTCCGTAGGCAGACTTTTATGAAACAAACATCCCTTGATGAATCTGATGAGCAAATATATGTAGACAAAGAAGAAGCTGGAAATGGATCTGAAGATTACCCAATGGAGTTTCAGTCTATGCCTGCTGATAATATGCAAAATCAAAACACAAATCAAAACTGCCCATACTACATGTATTTTAAACAATTTGACAGTCCCCCACCCCCTCCACCTCTGCCTAGAAGTCTTCCCTGGCAATCAAAAGTTCGTCAAAAAGATATTGATATGTTTCTGGATAATGTTAGAATAAAATTTGTTGGTTATTCACTTCCCGGTGATAGACAGACAGTGGCTGGACTCCCACAACCGATTCATGAAGGGGTTGAAATATTGAAAAAACATATGTATACCAGCCTATCTGAAGTACAAGCCGAACGAGAAATTGAGATAGCAAGAAGTCCTCTAACAAAAGGAGAAAAGCTTGTCGAAGAAACTGAAGCTGAGATTCTCTACAGAGCCATGCTTCCTAATTTACCACAGTATATGATTGCCCTTTTAAAAATTCTCTTGGCAGCTGCTCCCACATCTACTGCCAAGACTTACTCTATTAACATAATGGCTGACCTACTGCCTGAAGAAATGCCCGTGACTGTTCTACAATCATTGAAACTTGGTATTGATGTTAATAGACATAAAGAGATCATTGTAAAAGCTGTGACTGCAATATTGCTCCTACTTTTAAAACATTTTAAAATTAACCATGTTTACCAATTTGAGTTCATGTCACAACACTTGGTTTATGCTAACTGCATGCCATTAGTTTTGAAGTTTTTCAATCAAGACATTTTGTCATATGTCGGTGCCAAAAACACTATACCCATTTTTGATTTCCCTGCTTGTGTTATTGGAGAGCAGCCTGAATTGACTAAGGAATGTTTGGAAATTGGTGACTCATCAGTACCTTATTCATGGAGAAATGTGTTCTCCTGTATCAATTTGTTGAGAATTTTAAATAAATTAACTAAATGGAAGAATGCAAGGATCATGATGCTTGTTGTATTTAAGAGTGCACCAATATTGAAACGCACACTTAAAGTGAGGCATGCTTTGATGCAATTTTACGTTCTGAAATTGCTAAAAATGCAAACAAAGTATCTTGGAAGGCAATGGAGGAAAACAAATATGAAAACTATCAGTGCTATTTATTCTAAAGTTCGCCATAGATTGAATGATGATTGGGCCTTTGGCAATGATGTAGATGCTAGACCATGGGACTTTCAAGAAGAAGAATGTGCACTGAGGGCTAGTGTTGACCGTTTCAACCACAGAAGATATGGTTCAGGAGGGGGACAAGAAATTGATTTAACTCCGGTTGATACAGATATTAACAGTGTACTAGAATCAAATGTGGAGTTAGACGAAGAATTTAAAGACAATTATGAGTTATGGCTGGAACAGGAGGTCTACAACAATGAAATAAACTGGGATGTACTCTTATCCACATGAAATTTATAAAGGTCATGCAAGGATATATTTACATATTATTATTCAAAATTTAACTATTGTGGTGTTTTGATAGCAGTGCTTTTGAACTTGATACTTTTATACAGTGAGATTATCCATTATTTAACCACTATAATGTCATTGTTAAATTCTTGTTAGATCTCTCTTTAATTTTTGTAAGTATTACTAGGAGGACTTTACATTATTAGTTTAAATTGGAAATGCATAAAATGTAAAATGCATAATTAAGAGCTAGAATTATGTACTAATTTCTAATATTTGTGTTAAATCTGGTTATATGTGTTAGATTTAATATTAAAAAACATTAAATAAAGTAATGAAAGTTATGTTTAATGATTAAAAATGGATTGAAACAAAAAAATGTGCTGATGCAACATTAAAAATGATAATATTTAAAAAATTATAATAATTCATTTGTAAACTTTAGAAACTAAATGAAGATTATAGCTGAATCTGTCTTTTATTTAAAAAAATATTTATAAAAATTAATATAAATAAAACAAACTTTAACAGGCCAAGATTTTATGACATGGATTGTGGTGTAAACTTATAAAATTATATTACACTAATTGAATAATTCTTATAAAAAATTGGGAAAAGTAAATAAAAAGTTTTGGGCTTGCATCATCAGTACTCAAGTTGAGGCCTCCTGATCCTAGTTTTATATTATACTCTATTACCTCCGAATAGATTTGTTTATCTGTGGGATTTTGGGTGGGGTTTATTGTCAACTGTCAATCTAATGTCACTTAAAAATTGAGCAAAGTCGAAAAGTTGAATATAAATATATTTAAATCACAAAACAGATTATTGATTTGTGATTATAAAAATAACAGCAGTTACTGTGAATATAATTAATTGAAGTGCATATATAAGCGATAACCGCCTTGTAAGTACGTATGTTAAATCAATCCGAACAACATCCTGTAATCAAAATTTGTTTTAATAACTTTGTAAAAAAACAAATATGATTTTTAGAAATGATTTTTTTTATGAATTTTAGAATCTGAGCATAACATACATTCCTTATTGATTTACTTACTTCATATCAATATTCTGGTTATAGTTTTACAATGGCCGAGCTAGCAGCGCTTTTACAAACGTTAATTCCTGAAGGACGAACACATTTAACAGACAGTCATACAAATCTCGAACGAGTAGCGGAATATTGCGAAGCGAATTATTTTCAGTCGGAAAATAAAAGATTAGCTCTTGAGAGCACTAAAAACTACACAACCCAATCTTTAGCAAGTGTTGCTTACCAAATAAACACACTAGCATTTAACTTCCTGCATCTGCTGGAGCAGCAAACAATCCAATTGGCTGAAATGGAAGGACAAATGAACCACATTGCTCAAACTGTGGCTATACATAAGGAAAAAGTGGCTCGTAGAGAAATTGGTGTTTTAACTGCCAATAAAGTAACCCCAAGACAGTATAAAATAATAGCTCCAGCTAATCCAGAGAAACCAATAAAATATGTGAGAAAGAGTATTGACTATACAGGTAAGTAAATAACTTCAAACATAGTTTTCATATGTTTTTATCATGCAGCCTAAAGAATCTCCCAGAATTAACATTGTTACTTCATTACCAACTTTCGTATTTGCTTTAGTGTCTGTACTATTAATACTATGCTGCATCAATTGTGATATATATCAGCAATTTCTATGTTTATTATTTTGCATTATTTAGCTCTGGATGATATTGGTCATGGTGCTCGTTGGAATGGAGGCTCTAGTGGTACACCTCGTGGGCGGCGCTCAGTGTCTGCACAAGGCTCTGCCACTTTGCCTGCTCCCACTACCAAACCCCCAACACCACCAGCAGCTGTACGAGCGGCTTCTGCATCTAACACCGGCACTCTTGGTCGTGGCACACTTGGTAACTGTGTTTTTTTTTTCAGATTTAAAAAGCCCAAAGTCACTTTGTTTTAGACATTGAATTATGTTAAACTTTAAATTTAGTGAAGATGTTTAGTAAAAGTTCTTTCTGTTCAATAGGTAAATCGTCACGTGAGTACCGCACGCCTCCTGCGGTGGCGCCGCCGCAAGTGCCGTCGCATTATGCGCCTAACTATCCCCGTCGTCCTCCTGGATATTCAACACTACCTGTAGCACAGCCACAAGTAGGATATCTAGTTTTACATCAGTTATTGAAATCTATTTAGTTCTGTATAATATTGAAAAATGCATCAAGCGCTAATTAAATTAATGCAAAAATGATAACCTAGCCATATAAAGTGAGTGTAGTTATATTTCACATCAAATTTTAATTTGTAGGTTGGCATGGTGCATCCTAATCAGCATCAGACAAATTCCAATTATTCTCAGCAAGACTTGCATTCAAGTATGCCACGTAAGTATTACAATCATTTCTTATACCTGTAATATATTACAATCATTTCTTATGTACCTTTGTTATAGTTCTTTATTTAGTTTTTAAATATGAATTTTCTTTTATTTTCAGCACCACCTTCTCCATTGATTGGATCTGATGGAGAGCACAGCCAACATTCTATGAGTCTACCTGGACATGTTAGTAATTAATGCTACTACATTATATATGATAATAATTTTAATAACACTTAATTTCTCATTACATTAATTTTTTTACCGTCTGGTTTCCTTCAGTAGAATGTTTTATAAATATGGGAATGTTATTTTAATGTTCTGTCTCCATAATAGGTAGCTTAGATAATTTTGTAGTCTGAGAATCATAAAGCAGGTGTATAGATGTTAATAATATTTAAACATTGTTCAATGTTGTGCAGCGGGCATCGTCGTCATCCGGTGTGCCGTCACTGCGCGGTGGGTCGGTGTCTCCGCCGCTGCCGCCGCCACCGCTGGACGACGAGCTCGCACACGATCGCCTGCACGACATGCATCCCCATGTACGTACAATTTTAACAGTGGTAGACATCAGCATAAAACCATCATTGCATGAATTGGTCGGCTTGTCTGTTGCAATACCACAGCCTCTAGTGGAAGAGTAATTTCGTACAGTCTGATGAGTGCGCGTGCTGGAGGCCTAAAGGAAGGTAAAGTGGATTTGACAGAGGAAACTTTCTCAACTGTTTTCAAACTAAATAATAATAATAAAGATAAATGACATTGTCAGCCAGTGGAACATATGTATAAAATTGATCATTTTTATTAAATTCAACTATTCCCTGGTTATAATTTGAATTTTGACTACAGGGTAAGATGGGAGGCCCCTATTCGAGCGCCGTGCCTGCCATTGTGCCAGATGAGGAGGACCTGCCGGGCTGGGTACCCAAGAACTATATAGAGAAAGGTTAGTCATTAAATATAATGTTTTTGCTGTAATGAATAGATTGAATAATTATAAAAAAATGAATATTAAAAAATAAAGAACAAGTCCTATCATTTCAGAAATACCGAAGATTTAAGGTAGAAAAAATACACATTTTGTCTTAAACCCACACTGTTTCCCTAATTTAAATGTGGTAAATTTGTTTTTAAAATTGTTTGTGTTTTATTTTCTATATCTTTACTGTATTTCATACCTTATTATGTTTCTAGGAGTGAATATTTTTTTTAGAACTTTTAAATTAACTAATGTGTATTAAGAAAACGATTATTATCTCATGTTAGGGACCATTTTAAATACAAATTATGTATTTTAACTCCTTTTCTTGGATTTCCTTAATATGGTATCAAAAAATGTTTATTATATTGGTGTATGTTTATTGTGATTGGTGTGAATGTGTTGGTTTACCATTCGTGTTATTCCTTGTATTTACTGTGTTTGTGTTATACATCGATAAAAGAAAACATAGTAAAAAAAATTAATCAAAATAGATTGTCAGATCTATAAATCAGTAATCAATAATGTAATATGTAAACATTTCTAAAAATAAAAAATCATTATCATTCCAGCATAATAAAATTTAAACTTACAAATGGTTGTATAACATTGTCCATTTCATTGCATAGTACCAAAATGTCTGGACAAACCCACAATGGGTTTAATAACAATTCTAACGTAATAGTGTCTATTGCACTCAGTATAATAACAAATAAATAAAATAAACTATAAATGTATTTCAGTGGTAGCTATCTACGACTACTATGCGGACAAGGAGGACGAGCTATCGTTCCAGGAGAGCGCGGTGATCTATGTGTTGAAGAAAAACGATGATGGCTGGTGGGAGGGAGTCATGGACGGCGTCACCGGACTCTTCCCCGGCAACTATGTCGAGCCTTGCGTATAAAATACTACGCAAAAAGTAACATTCCGTATAACTGAGTTTCCACTGTCGAAAACAAATATTGAAACATGTTGTCAATCTACAACAACGTATCATAGAGCAATGCACTATTTTTAGGAATAATTAGATGTATTTGAATTTGTAAGTTCTTATGGTATGGAAATTGCTTGCAAAATATATTTAATTTAAATATATTAAAAATACATGTCTTTTGTAGCATTATTAATCTAAGTTCATTTACTTTAGAACAAGTTTGAAATATTTTAAGGAGTAGGTCTATGATAATATTCAGTCTTTATTTTGTGTGAAATGATTAGTTTTTTTTATAATTGTGGAAGAGACGGATAAACCACTAGCAACAGTACTACTACTTGTCAACCATATTGAAAAAAATAATTTGCAGATACATTACAGAATATTAAGTTGGACACAGAAAAAGGTACAAAAGAAACCTAAAAATTGTATAACCTCATTCCAATCTTATAAGGTGATGCAACTTTGAAGCATCTTGTTTCAAGTTATGCACTAATTTCTTTTCTGGTTTAAATCTAAGACGTATCTATAGAAGATAGTTTAAACATATTAAGGTATTATTGCGTTTACTTGCAAAATATTGTGTTAACTGTGTAGAATGTTATGAAAATTATTATTCCGAATAAATAAGTTATAAATTACATGTTTCTTCTATTTGTACTTATCTACATGTTATGATCCAATGCTAATGTTAAATCAATTAATTCTTATGCAAAGTTCATTATTTTTCAGCAATATTTAAGTAATTAAGGTAAGAAATGAGTTCAAAGTTCACATAAAGCTTATAAATATAATAAATGTGAAGAACACATAGACTACTTATTAAGTTTGTTTTAATACCGCGCGGACGGAGTCGCGGCTAGTTAAGAAAACGATCCACTTTGTATGTATGGAGTTTTATTGGGAAATTAGACTAAACAATTTAAGTCTTACTCAAATTACATACAACCACTTAAAATAAAAGAATTATAAATTGTTATATTATCACTTATCACATTCACTCTTATATACACATCGCTGCATACACGCTTCCCCTTAGGATGAACAGATGAGGTCAATGCTACTGTACATTTTCATTGTCAAAACAAATAAGTAATATATAAAATACAAATAAAATTCAATTCCTTCGACATACTTTTTCCTGTTATGTAAGACTCACGGTGCATGTCCATTGCACAACACCCATACAAAAACAAATTACCTCAATTTATTTCTAAGGAGAATGACTTGCATAATTATAAAAAAAAAATAATCCACTCGTATGAATGTTTTGACAGTAAAAACCTATTTAGACTAACTTTGGAGGTCTAAATACATTTAATTTAAATAGCCACATTGCCTAGGATAATATAAGATAAAAATTATTGGACGAATTTAACTATATTTACAATATTATGTTATAATTAAAAATACTCAGGTCTATGTATTAAACTTAAGTACCTAACTATCAAATACTGTAGAACTAACAATAAATCTCGAATTATATTATTTTGTAACTCAAGGTTCCAACCTGTCCAACAAGGATATCTGACCAACTGACCTCTGCTAATATGGTTAATTCTGTCAGAAAATATGTAAAACTTACCACACAATGACACTTTGAGATTAACAGGGGGCGCTAGTGAGTCATAGTTTATTCAAACTTTTGCCTACCGGGTCATATGACTAGCTCTCTATCATCAATATCCATATTTACTGATGTTACTTCAATTTCTTTGTCTTTTCCATAACTTTCGTGCACTTTATTATCCTCAACAATTTTGACATCACTTTTATCTGTAGATTTGTCTACATCCTTTACTTCCGATTTTGATTTTTCAGCCTTTGTTTCTTTATCGTCTCTGTAAAAGTTTTTAGTGTTAATAAAGCATTATTTAGAGATTATAATTCAACATAATAAGCATGTTTGAAATGCGTTGCATTTAGAGTAAAACAAAATTCCATCAGTTTGAAGATATTGTATCAGTTAATTATGTTTATACCGTCTAAAACTACAAAACCTACTAGTGTTGCCATTTTGTAACATCAAGGCATGACTATATTGAATAATACATTTTACATGCTTAAACAATGGGTTTTATATTTAACTTACTTAGTAGGTCCATTAATAATTTCGACAACGTCATCATCATCATCATACTTGATGTTGACAACCGCCTCCACTTTGCTCTGAATGCTTTTCAATGTTGAATGGAATATCTTGGAACTGGCCTGTCACAAAATACATACCACAATAAAATAATGGTAGAAGACACAACTATCACTTCACTAGTTTACTTTATTTAGGTGGCCGCTTGTTTGTGTGCCAACTTATACTATAACAGCAGTATAAAAGCACTGCGCTACGCACACATGATCTGAGCCACCTTAAAGATTGAAACGGCGTGTACAAAACGTCGTCAAGGAATATCCAAAGTATTGAATTATAAAATCAATGGTAGGATTGAATTATTCAATTCTTTCTTCTATTTTCAATTTTACCTTCCTTTAGGAAAAACTCTAAAGTTAACTTACAGTGAGGGAGGTGAGCTTGGCCTTGGCGGCGGCCAGCTGCGCGCTGAGGTCAGAGAGCTGTGTCTGCGCACCGCGCTCTGCCTGCTGCGTAGATGCGGCGGCGGCGCGCGCAGCCCGCAGAGCCGCGCGGGCGTTCTCCAGCGCACTCTCAAGCCGCGCTCGCTCGCCCGCCGCACGCCCCGCAGCCTCCACCATCGCGCCCACGTCTATTACCCGCGATTTGTACACCACTATGCCTGACAAATTCAATTATTTCAGTTGGATTTAATTAATATCCTGTTCTGAGCTGAACTCGTCAGATGTTTATAGACACCATAATGTTTTAAAACACATGAATAAGATTTTTGTATAAAATAATATTTTACTATCATATCTTACTAATATTATAAATATAAGTGTGAATGTATGTATGGATGGATAAACGAATCCCGATGAAATTTGGCAGACGTAGGAAATAATCTGGAAGTACACACGCTAGTTACTAATTTTTAATACCGCGCGGAAAGAGTCGCGGACGACAGTAACGAAAAATAGCCGTCGATAATAATTTTAATTTACCTGTATCACTGACATCTGCAGTAACAGACTTCTCTTTACCATCTTCATCAACTGCTTTACCAAACACAGGCAATAGCTCCCGGTTGCCTGCGGCAATAGTAGCTTCTAGTTCAGCAATCTAAACAAACATATCACAAGTTTTACAATAAGGAAATCTCAACAACATAAGCACTATGTTATAACCTCTTTCCATTTATCTCTATTAAAAAAAATAGTGGCTTACATGAGGAGGAACGTCGCTAGCAGCTGGGGTGTCTAACGGCAGATCCTGCATGGCATCTCCGGCTGTTCCCGAAGCCAGGTCTTTGATAGCTTGTATTAGTAACCTGTAATAAAAACAATAACTAATTGGAGTATAATAATCTCTTAATATGTATGTTAACAAAGATAACTTTAATACAAATCAATACACAAAAATTTTCAAGCAGTAGTTAATCATCATTCACATGAATAAAGATTTTAATTAGCCGTTAGAACAAGAAATATTTGCTTGTTGGACAATATAAAAAAATATCACTTACTTATAGCTAAATGTGTCTTTTATGCAGACTTTCTCAAGTATAGCTCTGATCTGTGATCTGGACAGTTGTAAGCCGAGGCTCATGAACAGACTCTGTAGATCCTTCTTAGCAATACTACCACAGCGAGATGTATCAAAGTACACCAAAGATAGCAATAAGTATGGGTCTGGAGGTAGATCAACTCCGCGACTCTTGCGCTTTGGTGAACTACTTCTTTCGTCATCACTGTGCGAATCCTGAAGTTAAAAAAAATACTAAATTAAATGCCCTGAATACAAATGTATATATTGTTGAAACAGCTAGAAAAAAACTTTGATGTCTAACTTTAGTTCTTTAAGTAACAACAGACATTGTCTCGATCACAATCACGTGTAAATTATGACATTTAATATTGACTTACTTTTCTTTCACGTCTTCTTGAATCTCTGCCTCTATCTTCTTTCCTATCCTTGTCATTGTTCTTGTCATCTTTCTTGTCTTCTGTCTTTTTCTCATCTTTCTTCTCTACTTTATCATCAGTCTTTTCCTTGTCTTTCGCATCTTCATTTTTTTCGGGCAGTGTGTAAAGAGTTTTATATATGTAGAAACCAAAATCTCGCATAAGCATTTCGTTAAATAACTCCGCAAATACGTATAACTGAAATGTTTTTATGAATATATGTATTATTATGTATAATATAAATAAAAGTGAAGGTTCTAAATATAAAAAATATTAACAAATACGTGACATAACACTTTATAACATTGAAACAAAGCAACTACTTAATAGGTGCAGAAATTTCGAAAAAATTACCAAAACATTAAGGCTTTAGACCACTGACCTTTATAAATAGACTGTCTAAAAACTTAGTTTATGTGCCTATTTGATTTTCGATATTTTGGCGATAATGGTAGCTCTTTGTAGCCGTGGTGAGGATTCGAACTAATGATATAAATTGTTATTTACTGTCACGTAACACAAACAAGCGCGTTTAAATCGCAATTAAGCAAAAGCTGTCATTTCCAAGCAATCGCCTATCCATTTCTGGAGATCAGGGCTTTAGACTCAAATTACATTGCTATTACTGATACAAGAACTAACCTCAAAACTATGTTCCTTATTGTCTGTTATTCTGTAATCCAATAACAGTGACAAAGTAGCAACACTGCAGGTAAACTTGCCATTCTTGGCAGTACTGGACGGGTGAACAATGATGTGTGGTGTAGATGGCAGCTCGTATCGTACTTTGACTGCTTGTTTTTCTTTCTCCAACTAAAATAAATGGTAATTATTGTAAACATTATATTCTCCACATATTTTTAATATATTTTTTTTTGTCAAATATTTGTTTGTGTTTACCTTTTTCCTTTCTTCCTCCAATTCCTTTTCAGTTTTAGGTTCTTTAGGTTTTTCTTCTTTTTTTTCAGTAACTTCTATGTCTTCGGAATTATCTTTGTTATTTTTGTTGTCTTCTTGTTGGGTTATTGCTATATTATTTTCCACTTGGACCTCTTCTTTTGTATTACTTTCTTCCTCCTGATTTTTATTTTCTGTTTGTCCACCATTTTCAAGTTTATTTTCTGCCTCCTCATCTTCTACCTCCATAATATCCTCATCTTTGCCATCCTTTTCTTTTTCAATTTTAAGAAGTTTTGACAAACGGGACACTAATTGGGTTCGGAGACCTGTTGGGAGAAATAGATATTCACTTTGGGGTTTTCTCTAAAACTGTTCTTGTTCATTATGTAAAATAGAAGAATATAGATGTATGTAGTAAAGAGGAATGTATTAAATATTACCTGTGCAATTAGCATTCCGAGCCTGTAGCTCTTGCTTCAGCTGTTCCACTGTCAGACTACGCAAATTAATATTAGAATAGTGTGTTGGCTCTGGTTTCAGTTCATAGTCCTCATAGTTTTCATCAATAGTTATTGTAGTATCTTCAAAGTTTGTTGCATCCTAAAAACACATGTTGCTGTCAATATAAATGATATAAAGAAATAAGTTTTAAGGCAAAATGAGGGATGGTGATTTATATGTTTTCGGAAAATAACTCAAAGATCCAAAAAGTTATTTCTAAATATAGTATAATGGGATGATTGTGTGAGTGGTGCTGTGTGTGAAGTAATCGAGCTTGCGATTTCCGGCCGACGCCAGTCCTACGGTAGTGTCGGCAACAGGCGCGGGGTCCTCCGTCCGTTAAGATGCGCGCAGCCGGATACAAAACCAAACAAAACTGGGAACAAACAATTTGGGATATCTCCGCTGAATCTTCGCAGCGCGACCTCGGTGCGTCGCCTTTAGGGTTCGGCTCCGGCTCGTCACCGTCGAGCCGACGTAACGTCGCGTCGCACGCTGCCTTATATCGCTCCTGAACCGTAGTCCAGTCGATACGCGAAGGTTGCGCCGACCACACGTCCGGCAGGAACAACACCACACACTCGAGTCTGGACTTGCCGCTGCTCTCGCGCCAGTAGTAAAACTCCACCATTCGGTACCTGCGCGGGTAATTCAGTTGTATTATGCATACTCACAATATGCGAACGCGCTGACTCCTGACATAGACACGACACATCCCGTACAAGAGTCAACAAACTGCTGTTGTTAGTACATCTCTGCATCCAATTAGTTGCGCCATTCGCGATGTACGAACTCCGTACTCTCACAAAATGAATGTGTGCTGTACTATGATCCATTCAACAAATAGCTATGGATAAAACTACAGTAATAGCAATTGCGCTTGTGAGAAAACAAGTTAAAAATAAATTACTTGTAAGATTTTATCCACAACTACCTCTTAAAATGATCTGGAAAAATCAGGACACAGGAAACTCCAATATTTTAAGAACAAAACACTCACCATTGGGTACAAGAGGATAAATCAATGCCTGTGAGTGCCTTGCATGTACGTATAGCAGTCTTCACCAACACTCCTGGATCTGACTGAGGATTTTCACCATCTAAGGAAGGGCTCCAAGGACCACCTATTGCAAAATTTTCACCTCCTTTCCCCTTCTGTCCTACAAGAAACTTGATCAACCGTGTGGGATGCAACGGTGATTTAGTCAATCGTTTATCTTTATCATCTCCCTTTGTTAGACCACACTTTTGATACAGAGATTCCAAAGTTGGCATGCTGATCAACATCACCTAAAATAATATTTTTACTGTATTGTCACTCATAAATTGTTAAACTAGAATAGAAATAGACCAAACACTGCTCTCAGACTCCCAGAGAGGAAGCTAATGAGGCTAAAATGTTTTAAAAGATCGGACATGTAGTTACTGCCAAATTTTTTTTAATAGGTTTCTTAGCACCAAAAAATTATCATGTATTTTGAAAATGAATTTTTTTTTCATTCTAATGCAATCTTGATGTGGCCGGTTCCAGGAAAGAAAAGACTTTATAGTTCTGTAAAAGCATTGTATACAGGAAATTAACTAACCTTGGCTGAAAATCTATAATCAGCATCAGGTGGTTCCAGGATAGAATCATTATGGTTTGGATTCTCTGCCTCCTTGCTCATAATATGATATGAACATGGATTATTAAGCGAAAATGGTGCTTGTGGTGGGAATGTTTCTCCCCATCTTACTTGGGCATTGAAAAAATCAGATGGTATATATAGATTGTTATACCTCTGTGATAGTCCAGGTACATCTGCTTTATCACTGCAAAAAGTTAAGTATCACTTGCTATTAATTAAATATATTCATTACTTGATAAGTTAAGGGATTACCAACTATGCTTGATTGAAAAATTACAAAGCTTAACATTCATAACACTGTCAATAGGCTGATCAGTAATGAATTTTTTTTCTGTTGTACAATTAGAATTTTAGTTGTTAATAATAATATAACTTACATATCAAGTGGCATACGAGGAACTCGAACAAATTTCACAGGTGATGGCTGATGGACAACAGGACGTTTACGTGGTGGAGATTCTCTACGGTTGCGACTGTCACGTCGTTCACGGGATCGCGAACGACTTCTTGTTCGAGATCGTTTCTAAAATTATAAGTAAACAGAATCTATATCTTACTGCAACTATATGTGGTAGGCAGTAATGATTTGTAACAATACTAGCGACCGACGAGTTTTCCATAGTGCCTTCTTTTTATACCATGCCTTTAGAGGGTAACATTTGTGAAACTGTTTAATTCGCAGACCTGTTACGAATCTTTTTGTCACTCAACGCATCCTACTCTAAACCCAGCATTGGTGTTAAAACAGTATGAATACCTACCCTGTCCTCCCTGCGCGACGGCCGATCATCACGTCGCGATGGCAAAGGCTTTTTGGAAGATGGTGGAGGTACAGCATTGTAAGAACTAGACTTAGGAGGATTCGATTTTTGAGTATGATTAGACTTCGGTAAAACTTGTACACGAGTAGCATTCCATTTGAACGGCATACTAGAGTTATAAGTGGCTTCAACTAGCACCCGATCGTTGATCTTAGGTATAATGCCTTTTGCACAAACAGATGTTTGATAGAAAACATCGTGATCAACAAAACCAAAATCATTATGAGTCTTAGTGACAGTGCCCGTAAATACCCGCTGTTCAGTTCCTTGTTGTGGTTGATTAGTTTGAGCGTTTTGATACAAACCCGGGTTCATACCACGTGGTGCTGGGTACGCAACAACATTGCCCGGGTACATTTGACCTTGAGTCATTTGATTCATCTGCATTTGTCCTGCCATCGGCATTCCCATACCACTTTGAGCTTGCATCATGCCAGTATTAAAAACTGTTTGTGTTTGTTGGAAAGGCATCATGCCTTGTTGTGTCATCATTGAATTGGGATCCATTATTTGTGGGTTTATGCCGGTAATGTTTGTATTCACATTTGATCTCGCCCAAGGCGGATTTTTCGCACCACTATTTGATTGCATTGTTAAGTAATAAGAAAATACTTTTAAATTGAACACTCTATATTAATAATTAACACTTTATTTGTTTTTAAACACCAGTTACGATAATCAAACTAACGAAAAACATCATCAATTAACAAAATGGCTGATTTGAAGAGCTTGGGTTGGGCCAGAGACAAATTATAGTTTATGGCCAATTGTACAAAGAGCATGCTGGCTTTTATAGACATTTAAGATGTGAAAAAGAAATAGCAACAGCTTTCTTCTTCTGTCCCAAAATAGAAGCTGATAGAAGCATTAAATTTTTTATTTGTAACATTTTTCTTACAGAAGTTTTTTTAATATTTTCTAATATATCTTTAAATAAAAATTTTATATCTTCCACTTACTATCATTATTAAAAAAATGGTTACTGATACAGAAATTATTCACATTCTTTTTCTTCAAGTACAATTATTCACGGAATTGAATATTGAATATAAAATTGTATCTAATTAACTAACTCAAAAAACTCGGTTAACAGGTCTATAACAATATTTCTGGTAAGTTTATGCTATAATCTCGCTTTTTGAAAAATTTAAGCCTCTTCGATCAATGGACTTTGTTTTTCACTGTAAATTCGACAATCAATAAGATGTGCATAATAGGTAAAAAAATTGTATATTTATTGGATAGAAAACAATTATGCCATTTACAGTAGTTACTTACGAAAAATATTTATTCATAAAATAAAAACATCGTCGTGGCCGTCGGATGTCTATCTAGTCCACTGAGCTGAGATCAACTTCATCACTCATCTAAAATTCAGTAGCTCACAGCGCTCGGACTCATATGCGTGTGTCTACGACGTAATAGTTTTGCGCGCCAAAATATCGGGGAATGTAATCTTTTTTTAGTTACTATGTTTTAAAGTTCTCAAATATTTTATTGCGTCATTTTTAGCTGTTAATATATTCTTTTCATTATTTTTAAGTTGATATAATAATTGACATGGTTATAAAAAGTTTCAAGGCAGTGCGATATTTCAGTATTTGGGCAATGGGCCAAACTTTAGATAAACATTACGTTTGATGCATTTAGTGACAAAGTTTAAAGTTTATAAACAACAACACAAGACATTTGAAGTTTTTTATGGTGTTTTATTAATTATTGAAATATAAAAAAATCTCTTGGCTATTTTTAATATGGTTGCAAATAAAAGTGAAAGTGTTTATAAGTCTAAAAGGGTGAATTATTTTGTTTAATGTAACAAATATATTTTGTGGTGCGTTTAACGTTAATTATGAGTGTTGAATCATCAAAGCCAATTCGTAGTGATGCGGGTGAACTGGAGTCACAAGACACAGCAATTAGGAGCCCATCAATAAGGGTCACTACGCCGAAGAAATCTTTGGCACTAAGATTATGGGTGCTGTTGCAGCCGCTCGCAAGATTATGGGGCCTTATTACTGCTGTTGGTAAGTATACAACAACAAAATGTATTGCAATGTATCCATATTTGCAAAACTTTTGTTTAATATAATTATAATCGATAAAATCTATAACTAAAATGATAATTAATAAGAATGTCATTTATTTTTCAAGCAAAGCTAAAGTACATGTTGTTACATGAATTAGAAATGACATTATTATCTGAGCTTCCTCCGATTAACAATTTGTCGGTCGGAAGTTTGATTTATCAGACTATTTCCTATTTATTATTTTAAAACATTACGAGCTATTGTTTAAATACATTAAATTACAGTATAAGCTTATAACGACGTTACAAAACTTAATTAGATGAACGAAAAGGGAGTACCCGCAACCTAGAAGGCAGGCATTACGCCAGGATCGTGCCGATTGTGATTTCTGCCTACCCTGATTTACGAGGGAACACTTTTTAATCAAGCTCTCCTAGGTCTCTTTTTAAATAATATTTTTCTCTTTAGCACTAATGAAAAAATATTTGGTTTTACGATTCGCACACGTAATGTAGTTTTTTTATTTACCAATTTCAAATGTCACAAAGTCACAATTTTTTTAACGTATTTATGACGTCCGTACATTAAACGTATAAGTATTTTTTATAAATTAAATACAATAACATTTTCTCGACAAGTAAGAAAAATAGAAAAGATAATTTTTTCCTTCATATTGTATGCATATTTAAATATTTGTTTTGTAATGCTTATTGTTAATACATCTCATAAATAATTGTCAAGGTCACGTCAGTCAGCTAGCAGGAAAATTGTCATAATTATTGTTATAGAATTAAGAAGTGCATAAAAGTTAATTTATTTCCGTATTATAAATCTTTTAGGTTAATTTATAACACTCTTCCTTAGGTTATTATTACTGAAATAGGGGAAAAGTGGGAAATGTTTTCGGAATTTAAAAATCATTGACCTAAACGGAAAACGAATAAAATTATCTCCAACTGCACCATACTAATAAATACAATCGTGCATCTTACCACGGCCCTATTAAGTCCTGTTACTAATATCATCAGGAGTAATCGATCTTAACGAACGACATCAATTGTTTGCAATTGCCGTTACGTTTGTATGTACATTGATAAATTATATAACACATTATGTACTGATAACAAATGTGTTCATTACAAAATTAGAATTGCAGGTTATATTTCCTCATTCTTGATGTTAGGTGTCGAAAATAATTAAATACACACGTGTACTCATTGAGGTTGGTCTATAGTGAAAAATTAGTAATTGCTAAAAAAAAAACACCTTTTAATCACAACTTTACGTGTTATCCTCGTTACCCATGTACTATTAGAGACATTTTAATTAGATAACTAAGATTTAAACAATTCTACCAAATGAGTGTTTATTATTTATTTCGTATTTATTTTACAAAAATGCAACGCAACAACTGTAGATGAAGGAGGCTTTTTTTATAGTATATTTTAATGATGACAAAAGACAATCGTCATCAAAATGAAAGTTGAATAAGCGAACTTTACAGTCTAGTATTTCCATTCTTTCAATATTGTTATATATGAGAGCTTTTTATTGTGACCTACTTTAATATTGTAATGGTAAGAGTCGTCGCTTCGTGATAGCGTATAATGTATGTTTGCATTAAAAAAAACATACATTTTGTTGTTTAAAATCAATACAAATTGATGATAGGAGAAACCAAACTATGTCTATTTATGTTGAAAATATGACTAGAACTTCACTTTTGACTTAATTTCAATCAAACTTATTTTTATTAAAATCTCAGTTATCTATGACGATTAAATTGAAATAAATCAGCAACTGTTTGGTACAAATTTAAAAATTTAAATAAGTTGTAAACTTTGGTTTACTAACTAAACTACTAATTTTAAATATAAAGGAATATGTAATAGAAAGTACTTTTGGAGAATTTTATCGAAAAATATTTAATTAACAAATACATAAAGTTAATTAGACATGTGAATTAAAAATAATTCTATGTATTTTATGTGGTTATTTAATAAAATTAAAAGTAAAATAATATAACTGTTGCAGTTCTGAGTGGTGCCGGAGCAGAACTAATGGTGCTCGGGTACGAAGTCGCGCCGGGCTTCTTGTAAGTATTTTTTTCTATAATCATTATTTTTAATGACAGTTACAAATTTTATTAATAAGATTTCATGTTATTTTAATTTAAAGTAGCAGCGTTAGATCATAAATACCACACGTAATACATGTGAACGCACATATATTAGGTGCGCAACTAAGTTCTCGCTGTTTATCAGTAGATGGCTCTAGCAGTAAGAGCTGGTCGATTTTGACATATCCAAAACGTCATGAACCAAGCTTAGACATATGGTAAACAAACCGTTGCGACGCATGAGTGATTTTGTTGTCGCATTATATACTTCCGGCCACTTATATAAAATAGCAAGGTGACAGTTGTTCGATGCTTACCTTTAATCGACACTAAACGTTGTTGTTATGTAGTAATAATTTTCTAGTCTAAGTATATCTTAATCTCTAAAAATATTCTGAAAAATGTAAATACTTCATAACGCTACAAGAAAAGCGTAAGTGAAATCTTTAACTTGAGAGTTTTTGTTTCTGATAACTTTCTAATACGAAGTATAATTAAAGTTAGTTCACTTATGTAATATCTTTGAATCAAAGTATTTGTCAGATTTGCCTACTGACCGCGGTTGTGTAGATTTATTTGCTAAAATCTTCGTCTGCTCGAAAGCGTCACAACTTCGAAAAATTAAATTTGGCGAGACTTAATTTTGGATGGTAATAAAAAAGGCGAGGATTACTTTTCATCTCGGTGTTGAGGGACGCGTTAAAAACACCTATTTAAGTAACTTTGACGTGTTTGAGGCAATATTGTGACTTCTAGGGTGTTGTTTTATTTGGCCGCCGCCCCGTGCTTAGAAACAAGGCTCGTTAGCAGGATCCTTACGTATAGTGTTCATTAACCTGGAATTCAAACGAGAAAGTTCCTGTTGTTTTTTTACAATTCTTACGTAAATTGTAGATATGGAACTTTTAAAATATCAAAGCGTTTGTTTCTTCTGACGATTATTAACTATTGTAAAGGGGTGGACAATTATCAAAACGAGGAACTTTACGCTATGATGTTGAATGATTTTTCGTTAGTCAATTAATTATTTATTCCATTTATTTTACTACACAGATAAAATTAGTGTTATGTTAACAAAACTTATTCCATATTACAATGCAATGAATTTTTAATTTTTGTTACTATTCACCCCTACTACCAGCATTTTATTCTTTAATTCTTCCTAAGTATTGTACATTATATTTCGTTCGCTTGCATTTTCTCCATCATAAGTAGGTACTTAGATTCAAACTTAAGTCATCAATATTTAGCTTGCAATGTGTGAAAACTTTTTACGAGTGCTCTTGAAATTCGAGACATTTCTCTGGTAGAGTCGTAAAAATCCTTACTTCTGACGATGAATGATATAGAACTGAAGTTAAGCGAATTGTGCTACTTTCATTACACTTCTGGAAACCTGAATTGAATTTAAATTACAGTTGTTTAAATTTTTCACTTATGAATTATTTGAATATGTGTGATTTTTAAATTTATGTTAATTGATCAGTAAAGGAAACATATGACTACGTCATAACTGCCTGTGTACCAAATTACTATAACCAATCTTATTAATTTAATATTATAAATGCGAATGTTTGGATGGATGGATGTTTGTTTGAAGGTATCTCCAGAAAGGCTGAACGGATCCGGCTAAAATTTGGCGTAGACGTAGAAAATAGTCTGGAAGAACTCACAGTCTACTAATTATGTTTTTTTTAATTCCGCGCGGACGGAGTCGCGGGATACAGCTAGTTTAAAGATAAACGAGATCTATTAATGTTTACACGATACATTGTAACACTATCAAAACAAATGGCTATCATCACACCTTTTTTTTATATGTAGAGTTGGTGCAGCTCTGGTGTTCGTAATGGAGACAATGTGGGTGGCAGCGCTGTTCGTGGACCTGTTGTGTCGGCGCGGGCAATACACGCTGTCTCTACGCTGCTGGGATTTCGCAAGGTGGTCATGTGGACGTGCGCGTGCGCCGTTCTACGCATGCGCCGCGACCGCTATCTTGTTTGCTAATCTGACAATACTTGCTGCTGTTGCAGGTATGATTGTAATTAGGTTACTAGATATTAGTGTATTTTATTATTCTATGATGATAAGGGTTTGAAAATGTTTCTGGACGTTTTAATTTTCAAAAGAAGTCATGATGTAGTTAATAGTAAAGTTAAGAAATATTTATCCGATTTCCCAAATGTACAACATGCTATGCAAATTTGGTTACGATAAACGACCCTGAAAGAGAATTTGTAGGAAAAGCCTTTCACGCATTTTATGAAAATTACATATAATTAGTCACACACGATAGTCACATGACACAGTTGCGGCTACGACAGTCAGAACAGATTGGAAGCTGTTGCCAACTTGCGAATTATCTGCGAATAAAAAGAACAGACACCATTGGGGCCGATCCACTTAAATGGTCTCTATCTTATTATAATTTTTTTGTACTATTACATTTACATTTATATTAATAAATACTTTAATAGTTTAATATAAAATGCATTCATACTATTCTAATATAACATTGATAGAACTCACGCATCTAAGATGAACGTATTTGAAATAATCTAGGATCACCTTTGTACATCTTCCATCGCCAACAATATGAATTCCGGCTAATGGCAAATCTCCAGTACCGTACACAGAGTACATATTAAATTAAATTATACAAAACAAGTATTATATGAATAGTAATTTATACGCAGGGTTTTCATTACAGACATATTAAGATTGAAATAATAAAATTTTATAGTTATATTAGATTAGGTTTAAATTACTTTTATTGTCAGTGTTTAAATTGATGATACGATATAGGAATGTGGTTATCTTGATTTTACAGACAGTGACTGTATCGAAAAGAAATGCTAAGAATGCAATTAAATATTATATGTATGTAGATAAAGGAATATGGGCCATACTATTTTAGTATGCTACGGACCAAATGGATTATTAGTATGTATATTTAGTGATGGTGATGATCCTTGTAAAATCAGTATCTCAACCTCTATGTTTTATTGAGGGCTCTATTTACTTTATTAGATCTTTTTTTTTTGGATTATACAAAAATAAGTTGTGAAAAATTTACCAGCATTTTCATATAAAACCGCATACAGGGAGGTTCTTGTTGAGTTTTTTTTAAACAACGATGGCACGCTGTTAGCAAAAAACACGTCGAAAAGACCGGGACATAGCAAACATAGTTTTACATTTTGTTTGGACAGCTTTGAACTTTTGTCATGGGTTTTAAAAATTAGAATTGTTCTAAAAGTGCCTGCTAGGAGAATGCGGGAAAAAAATATACTTTAGTTTTCATTTCAGCCAGCAAATTATAATTAAAAAATTCTTTTAGGTCCAAAAAAGAAATTGAAATAAAACTATCTTAAAACAGCCTTTATAAAATAGTCAAGTAAACGATCGTAAAATAAAATAAATCAAATCAACTCATTTCTCTACATTTCGTGTATTTAAAATTACAGAAGAATATATACTTACCGTGAGTTTCTAAGACCAAATATCTCCGTTAGTATTGTTATATCTGTTTTGTCAAAAAGGATGACAAGGATAACGATATCTTACATAGAGATTTTGTTCTCAGAAACTTACGGGCTTAAAATTAGGATTTAACTTTAGAAGGTAAGTAGGGTCAGACCTTGAACAGATGGGTACCTGAAGAAAAAACCTATGAAAGATTTATCGAGGTATTTTAGCTTATCTGAATGTTTTCGATCTTACTAGGTGGCCTATTACTGGTGTTGGCTGGGTTACGGGCGGCGGCGCCATTCTCTCCATTCGCAACTCACGGGCCGCACCACGCGCGCGCCGGCAGTTCTCTGCTCAGCCAACACGACTCTCCAATACCTGATGTCTTCTACAACGCTGCGCATTCCGCTGACGATAGGTTTGTTCACACTAGCTATATTAACTACTCCGTCCCTAAATTATGTAAAAGATATAATACATAATAGAAATAAATAGAAGATAGATGATGATTTTGAAGTCTGGGCACCAATTTTTTATAGAATGTCTTTATTTTAAAAGAGATGATTTGGGTTGAAAACTTTAATATACCGTTGGTCTAGCATGTTGATAATGTAGAGTATGGCTAGTGACCGATGTGGGACTTGATGGTCTTGATTCGGATTTTAAGTTCAACATTACTCTGAAGCGTGTTTCTGAGACACCGTTTATATGAATCTGAAGCGGTTTGACCGTTACTAACTCAAGTTTTTATAACTCAGTTATAGGAACTAGTGTAAAATTAAATGTATGACACATAGTAGATACGTACAAGTTATAATTTCTTGTGTCAATTATTAATTAATAATGTTGATTTCGAGTCAAAGGTTTTCCACACCGCAGAACCAGATGTTTCATTTACGATTTAAAACTACGAGATCTCTTTTGTTCCCGTTAGTCTCCCAAAGGTCGTGCTCTACAAAATTCAACCTCCATGCTTTAAAACCTAGCGTACATTGCTTCGTATGTATGGAGCCTTATGAAAGAGTTCTATTGACATATATCTTGATTTTCAGTTGTTTTTTTTATTGAACAAAAGGTTAGGGATATAACACGAGCCAATATTAACATAGTATAGTAGGAGAGTGTGTTTTAAAATGTCAATAATAGGAACTATCAAGGATTTAAAAAAAAACATGTTCTGACTGGCCTTTTATTACTAAAGGTGGTAAGTAAAACTAGAGAAAAGTTGCTGAAATAAGCTAATTTTACTTACAGATGTGAAGAAATGACAGTCCTCGATATAAAGACACCGGAGAAATCACGATCGACAACACCAAAGCATTCTCTTCTAGAGATCTGATTTAATTTAGTGTATTTATCTTAGTTCGTTTATATCTACTACGCGTACAGAATAACATGACACTGAGTCGTATAACGGCTGACGCACTTGATCTTTCAGTGACGTCATTGGATTGGGGTGACTTGTTATTGCGCACGTGTTATTTCATATTAACTATATGGTAATTTTACAGAAAAACTGCGGTATAATGTACGTTTTATTATGTTTTCTATGTTAGTTGTGTTAATTTTATATGTAAGAGAACTGTGATAGTTTAGATTGTAAAATGTATTATGTTTTATGTCGAGTTTTAATTAATATTATTAATATTTGTAGAAATCTTTCTATGAAATAAATTTTGTGCATAATGTGCATTATTTTTAATGAAATCCTAAACTTGGCGTTTGCTTAGCACCGCGTAATAGGAGTACGCGGCTTTCATTATCTGGAAAAAAAACATATTTTTAGTTTTCTTTTATTTCACATAATACCTAGCTAATAGATAAGTCTAAAACCAAAAGTAAACTCTTTCATAATTTGTACGTAAACTTCCAGAAGAATAGGATGAGGACATTCCCCCTTCCTATACGTCCTCTACTCTGCCAAATATACACCCCCTTTTACATCCCTTCTTTATCACAAAATGTGGGAGGAAGGAGGGAATAAATTCCACTTCACGCCCTGTCTCCCGTGTCGAGCGAAAGATGTTTTGGGGTATCTACCATTTGCAGTAAATACCGAACAACTTACAGCTAAGAAGCAATCATTGTTCATATTAGCGAAGCCGGCAGCAGTGAGATGCAGCGGCTTCTGAGCTCGCATCATCGTCAGCAGAAGCATCTTACGTACGCGCGCTGGCATTCGCTCCCACTGACACTCCATTACCGAGTCAGCCACGAGCTTTGCCTGCAAATTGATTTACGAAGTAGCCGAAGGTGAATATGCAAGTTCAGCATTCAGTAGGCCTGAAACAGGTCAGTCATAAATGTTCATCGATCACCGCTAGCGAGACATCTGAGTATACACATTCGTTGGCTTTTGTCAGTTGTTTTTTTTACAGAAAAACAAACAAACATTAATAAATGTAAAACTTAGTTAAAAATTTAATTAGATACGGTTATAATCTGAAGTTATAAAAAGACCATACGCAATATAGAAAATTTATTTTGTTTCAAGTCGTTATAAAGATAACCGACAGACGCGTTTTAGTATCACAAAAAGTATAAAGAAACGAATACGCGGAAAGTAAATCCCTACTCAGAATGTTATACCTTTTTTTCCATTCTTATTCGTAACTAGGTACTCCAATGTCCTGGCAGAGTCGTTATCTTTTATCATGTATGTATTCTTTTTTCAATGCATAAGCAGTCATTCATGTATACTACTCACGACGAAAACTTTTCAAAAGAATGGCTCAAGGTAGCATTGTCGTGTTCTTTATTTCTATGTTATGTGACTGTGAGATGAAACACGTACAGAGTGAAACGCCTGGAGCTGTATAACTCGTTTCAAGCACCTTTCTTTTGGTATTCCACCGTGTAATGGAAAGCACTGGAGAAAATTTCTTTTCGCAACGTGTTTTAACATTCGTTTAATCGTTTTATTACAATATTGAAGTAATCGTTTAATTATTTAATCGAATAATTTGCCTTTGCCATAAAATGTGATATCGTAACGGTTTACGGCTTTATAACGGTTTACTTCAATGCTCTTTGAAATTCGTACTGCTTACTATTGAAAATTTTGTAGTTAATTAATAAAATAATACTTTAAATACTAGTTAATTGTTTTAATCGAAATCATAATAAAATTATAAAGGCCAATGTCCCATCTATCCATCGTAACATTGGCAGTTGGAAGGTATCTACACAACAGTTGAATGGATTTTGCTGATATTTGGCATAGACGTAGAATATAGCCTGAAAGAATACATAGGCTACTGAGTTTATTTTAATCCGTGCAAACGGAGTCGCGGAAGAGAGACAGTTTTGGATAACTTTTCAATCAACTTACTTGATAAGTGAGTTCGTTTCCAGTAAAGCATTGTATCGCAAGTTGTATGATCATTGCTACGAAGAATGCCAATGATGTTATCAAGCGTACCGACTTGAAACTGGATGCATCTAACTGTAAAGAAAAAGTTTGTTAAGCTCAAAGAAGTATCGACGCGCGGTGTATCTGACTTGAGGCTAGGTTTATACGAATTTTCAGAATTTAAAAGCTCTAGTCTGCTTTAGATCTTTTGCTTAATGAACATGTTTCTGAAGAAGTTTTTCATTTGTTAAATTGTGTGAACCTTTCTTTAAGACTTAAGCTTTTATGAAGCGTTAAGGATTCAGTGATGATTTTTAAATATTAGTTATATTTGCAAATATTCGTCTCCGCTTCTTCTTTTATAGTTATTGGTTCTTTGGTTTTCTAAATCAACTACTTATGAAAAGTTCGAAACTCCTGTTTCAACATTTATATTTGTGTTTCTTCGAAAACAATAGGGCAATATGTTTTGACATTTGACTAATTCGACAGTGGAAATTCGACACAGTAAATGTCATACCGAAACTTGCACCATTACAGCACAAATGGCCGCCATACTGGACAACAGTTGAGTCACGAAGCCGTATGAATACGTCACCGAGAACTTTTCCACGCAACTGTAAGATAACATAATATTTTATTGATCTAATTTATCACAATAACCCATTTACAGGACAATTTTAAATATATTTATTTGTTTAACAATACTAAAGTACATTTAGTAGTTTCCTTAACTGTACTTGCTTATAAGTTTAAGTGATTGTTTAGTTTTCTATTTAGTAAATCATGACAAAACAAATTGCGTAACGATTTTTGTCTAAAGGTGATAAATTACCACCTCAATACCTATGTATATTCCGTGGTAATTTTGCATCGTAACAAAGGTTTTAGCTAATTCAATAAAAAGTATTTTTACAGTTACAGCATACTATGCATAATTAATATTCATGGTGCCCCAAAGAATATTGTTTTAAAGGTTATTTCCTTTGGGTGTGCTAACTACCGATGCTAATTTAAGGGTCTTCGATGCAGTGTATACTTTTTGAACTTGTGTCAACTATTCCTTGTAGTATTAAGTAACTACTATAGCTCTTAGTTTCTATGACTTCTTTTCATTTCAGCAAACTTACGTTGAATATGAAACGTGGATTATGTTGATTTCGGCGTGGGAGTAAGAAAAAAGCAGTCGTCTGACAATATTGGGTCTGTAATCCTAAGATATTGCACGGTGTCATATCCACACAAAATGCGGTCCCCTTATTGCTAACATTGGCGGAGGATTGATATTTTTTCGCGCCGCGGGACACTGCCACGCGCAGCCGTTTCAATACAGATTTCCCACTTTTTATTTAACCATCGACTCGCCCTAACTTCGCTGCTGGTTTTTATTACGTAGCTATATTCAAATAAAATTTGAACACCAGTGTAATTGCGTAGAATCTTATGCGTCTGGAAGAATCTCCAGGTGATTGTTTGCTCGTTTGCCACCTTATCATATAAAAATCGGTTTACATACAAGTATTTTAGCGAACTTTTCAAGATAAAGTACCTTTTCCACACTTTGTCAAATTACAACTATAGTAAAGGTGGATAACTTTGCGTATTTAAAGTAGTAAAATATTTTTGATTTGTTTTAAAAAGTCGTCATGCTTTTTTTTATGTTTTCAAAAATGTATGTCCAACGCAATAGTGCTGTGATAGACTATTACAAATTGCGAGTCTGGCGAGGATTTTGGCGCGAACAATCTCACCACTTAATTTACAACGCATTCTATGGCAGTTTAACATGGTTTGCGCGCATCGAACACGGCCCGCGTGCCAAAACGCACATGCTACTGGCCGTATATCGTGCGTTTGTGAATTTATTAAAAAAAAACTTTAATTTACGATTGTCATCTGCCAATGACAATTACTACGTATATAATGCTAGCTTTTGCAGTCATGTTCATGCTCTAATCCAGATCTGTTTAGGGGTTTTCGAGTTATCTGCTAACAAACATCCATCCATTAATCTATACTTTTTACATATGTTATAATACTATTTTAAATTAGCAAGATTTCGAGTCTGAGTCAACTAGTAACTCATTTGATAAACCCCGTTTACCGTTTACGTTTACGCTTACCTGATTAATAGTTGGTGTTGCTTAAAACAACTATTCAATTCCGTCAGTAAAGCCTCTTCAATTTCTTTATCCGATTTATACTTCCTTATAATAGTTTCTCTCATATCAAGATCCTTACTACTAATAAAATGTTCAGAAGAATCGCTTGCGTTATTTTCATTTACCTGAATACCTTGATAAAGTCTTCCAATGGCTCGATAATAGGCTGTTAGAAATGCTTCTTGTAGTATAGTGAATTGGCAACTCATGTGAAGAATAATAGAACCTATCAATGTGTCGATCGTCATAACAATATGACCGGTCCACAACAATCCTATTGTTTCAAAAAAATAGGTTATAATGTACGATCTTTCATTTTCATAGTCCCATGGTATGTAAATAGGTTGTGGCAATGTCCTTGGTGGTTTGCTTGTAGACTCATTTAGTTGTAATATCTCTCTTTTCCATTTAATATCTCGAAGAATACCATATACGGTAGTATTGCCAATTGTAAGCCATCCGAAAAAGAGAAATGAGGCCGTCAATATTTTTGTCACTTTAATCGTCTGACGAATGAGACTATTGTTCTGGTAGTAATCTTGCAAATCGATCTCTAAAGTTCGGACAATATCTTGAAGTTCTCGATTTTTAAAGAAGAATATATAGAGTTTTATAAGAGTAAGATCATGAGTTACAACAAATGACAGACTGAACATAAATCTATCTAAATCTTTATGACCTATAAAGGGATCTATCGATTCCAGTCCAACGAAAATTACAACCCAAACGAGTTCTGTTAACAGAGCATAATAAAAATACAATCCGGGAAAGTTACGTGTGTCATTTTCATCAGGATGGTGCCACCAACCAAGGCCTAAAAATCTTAATAAAAGATAATGGAAACCAAAATATCGTTGAGGTCGAGATACGTCCGAATTGTCCGACATTGTAAGAAATATTAACTAAATTCAATGTTGAATAAAGGTTTCGATTACAACTCTTTAATTTTAATTATTCAACTTGAACACTTCGAGTCATGTAATTATTAGGTAAGAAATATAATTTATACTGGTTGAATCGCGAGAATAATAAATTGAATTCGAAATAAACTGTTTATATATGATCCGACGTAGATTTAGTAACGAAAGATTTAACACATATTATTGTTGTCGAACAACTCACTATTGAAAAGGAAAATGTCGATCGGACTGATCAGTCAAGTGATAAAACTATTTATATAAAAGGCACAATGTTTATTTAGGGATATTTGTAAACGTGCAGTGTTATTTACACGATGAGTTCAATTCAAACATACTACTTACGTATTATATCAGATAGTAATTTATGGAAAATTAGACAGTTCCCTAACGTGTACGATATATGGTCAAATTTCCATCTCTATGTCTGGTTATGACTTACTTCTAAGAAAAACTTAATTTTTACTATACTTATATGATTGTACTATTACAATGTTTAATCGTCACAAATTTAATAATCTAAAAGAGTAGAATCATTTTTAAAAAGCTTTAAAAAGCTTGTAGATAAAGTAATCGCGTAACTTATTATATGTTAGAGGTTAAATTTTAATATTACTAATATTATAAATGCGAATGTTTAGATGAATGAATGAATGTTTGTTTGAAGGTATCTCCAGAATGTCTCAACGGATCTTGATGAAGTTTGGCACATAGTCTGGAAGAACACATTGTCTACTTTTTTTTTTAATTCTGTGGAGACGAAGTCGCGGGTGTTTTCTAGTAAAATATTAAATAAGTGGGCGTATAAAAGAGGTTGGATAATAATATAGTTTGAGACTGAAGTGTGAACTGCGACATTTGAATATATTATTACTTCAATAAATACTTCATAACCCTTAACCGTAATCATTTTATATTTAATTATATTTGTTACTACATAATGCTATTTTATTTCTTATATAAATATTGGTAAATAAGCAAATGGCCTCCCTTGTTTAAAAACACCGTTACGGTGAAGTTCAATAGGAATACTGAAAAAGTTAGATTTATATTAGTATATCACAAATATCAAGCAGTTGGTTTTTTTTCAGTTTTTCAAGTATTTATATTATATTTGTACATCGAGTCTGTTCTTTTAGTGTAAAGAAAATTGTTACCAACACAGTTTTTCTATTTCAGTCATGTAAATTCTGTAGTATTTGTTTGTACCGTTAGATGGCGCTGTAATTAACCATTGGTTTTTAAAAACCAGACTTGCAATGTTATAAGATGTTGCATAATATTGTTCTGTACTTTAAAAAAGTTAAATATTAAGTAGCTAAATATCCAACGGCTAATATTTTGAAAATATTATCACAGATGTAGTATGGACTAGAATATAAATTGTATCAATGAAAAGCATATATTGCTATCAGTCTAAATGTTCGTGATGTTAACCTTTTTAATATTTTTTTATTTCTTTTAAAATTATTATCGCCAGTAATAAGAAAGAAAGAATGAAGTCAGGTGAAAATAACATCATTTCATAACTATGTAACATGTAAATTGTTTTAAAGCGCTACAATTTTTGCAAGCGCTTTTCTTGCTAAGTTGTATACTAACGTCAGTTGTTTCCTGTTCTTTCATTGGACGTTCGAGTCGTATGATCGAACGATCATTTAACGGTATAATATGATACATACTCTTTGGTAGTAGAACTGACGTAACTGGACGCAAGCACGAATTTTAACATAACCTAAGTTAGTCCGCCAATGCTTGCGTTACGGTACAGTCTGTAATAAACAAAGTCCAATAATTTAACGGTACATTTTCCGTTATTTTTTACATATTTTAATATGAATATAATGTGTGTAATGTTGATAATTTGATACTTAACGTTAAATTGACAAATATGATGTAATTATATTCGCACAGATAAATAAAACATTTTTTTGACAGCGGTTCTACTCTTTGAGTTATACAATGACCCGGTGAAGATTTGTGCATTAATTAAGTTGGAAAAATTAAGCAACAAGTTTGTCACTTGAAGACATTATTAAGTAAGTATTGAATGAGTGCATATATATAGAGAAAATTAATATGTAAAGAAATTGTTGTATAGATACATAAATGTTTTGCGCTGTGATAAAAGATTGGCGCCAAAAATTATAAATAATTTAAGGAAGCTTAAAATGTAAATTTAGTTTAAGTATTTAAAATACACTAAGTTAAAATTAAGTTAAAGATAAATGTAAATGTAAAAAAAAATACATTATTTACGTCAATGCACATAGATATTATCAGATCGATTCAAGGTAATTTTGAGTATTCGTCTGGTACATTAATAAGATAAATTTTTAAATTTTACACGCTGTATACGTGTCGTGACTTACATCGATTAGTTATTGCTCAAAAAAGGATTGGAAACAAAAAAATAAGGACTCTCTTATGCATTATTAAGTTTTTTGAGGATAATTATATCGTGTATATCATCTCGAATTATTTGCACAAAATATTTCGTGTTTTTTCGTATTCTTTTTCCCCAGAAAATAGTTTATTATATTGATTAAAGTCTTATGTCTTAGTTACTATTAAAATATATAAAAAGCATATATTCACTTCGTTTTTATGTAAACAAAATAATTATAAACAATACATTAAGGAAGATACGAAAGATTAAAGGTTTTGTACTTTAAACTGACTTTGTAGCTTATAAATAAACATATAATATAAACTTCCAAACCTGGTTTAAATAAACATCCAAATACAACAAATATTTATTAAATATAACCATAACCCTTCTAAACTTTGTAGGTGATTTTGATTTTAGTTCAATCGTTTGATAATTTATCAAATCGCGTTTAAAAAAAGAAGTCGATGGAACATAAATAAATTTATTTATCATTAGGACTCGTAACTGGCTTATGTAATTTCAGTAATAGATTATTACGGAATGATAATGATTAATTGTTATTATTAGTTAATTGATAATTTACTCAGATGGAGGTCAGTATCACTCTACGTAACTATAATTCAATATACATAATATATTTCTTCACTGTTGAATGATGATATTAGTTGTTCGCTTCTAAAAAGTAGTTCATCTTTCCTTAAGGATAAATAGGTTGACCAATGATGGAATAATTAAATAAATATCTTCTCTTCATCTTTAAAGTATGTATTATTAAAAATGTTATGCATTCTCTATTAACCGTTATTAAAAAAAAATACTTATTGACATCATTTCATATGTAAATATCATGGTTATGAAATGTCTGTTATTCAAAAAAAGTTTGCTTTACAATTTTTAATGACGTTTTTTTTAATTACCACGAAGTCCTATCATTAAGACATAATCGCATCTTCTGTACTAGTATGATGTATTGGAACATTCCACGTTCATTTCATGTTTCATATTATCAATCAAAAGGACACTGTGTTGCAAGACGATGTCTATTTATTAAAATGATTGAATCAATTGGCTCTGTTTTCACGATGCGTGCTTGTAGTCTGTTGGTCATGTTCAGCCTCATTTCGAGTTTTTAATAGTTACAGATATTTAAACAGACACTAAGGACCTGCTTTAGGTAGTACATAAAGACTGACTTGTCGTCGTCTACTTATGCACACACAGCATAACGTGGAATAAATGTACCTATGAAATTTGAAAATCAAAAACACATTGGTATATGTCAAGGTTTGAACCCGGAGTTGTGGAATAAAAGTGTTTAAGTCCTGATGCCCGAAGCTCTAGTGTCACTCTGAATGTGGTAGTTACAATGTATAATATTAGTTTATAATTTTTTTAGTTACCTCCAAACACATACATAATAAATGTATGCAATAAATCTCAGTTAACCAAACACTTGAGTAAATAGAGAAAATCCCAAGCCTTTCGTCTTTCCTACTGTCTAACAATGTTTTCATTATAAAGATAAAGCTGATAAAAGCATTGAGATAATAAAATTGTACGCGGTAATGTTTGACGCATGTGATATCAGAATCAGGGCACAATCAGCACTTAAATCGTATCATATAATAAAGATATATACGGAGAGTAGAACCGCAAAGAACAAAATACCGAGATAATTAATTGCCGCACTCAGTCATTAAGTGGTCAAAATCAAACCCTTAGTGTAGATTAAGTAATAGGAATTTACGAAGAATGTTTAGCCAATAAACGATTTCTGGTTACGGCACTTCGTTCGTTCGTATAAATAATTTGAAAACAATGTGCTTGTTTATGAATAACTTTTCAAATTGGAATTGTTATTACGAGCTATTCATTGTCATAAAGAAAAAGATTTAATTTTTCCACCTAATTATGGCTTCGCTTTTTAAATTTCTAAAGGCAGACTCCGCGTAACCTACGTAGTCCTTCAAACCGGAATTTGTAAAAACACGCAGCCGTTGGCATTTTATTTTTAAAAGGCATAAGGCCTCACAAAAAAATTGCCAGGGTTTAAACATATATTTGTAATGGTTTTCGAATAATAGTTTGTAGAGTATTGTTTTTCGTTCACATACATAGTCGACGAAGAAAATAAAGAATGACAATTTACTAAAAACAACCAATGGCGTGCTCTAGAGAGATGTCAAAACATCTATAATGTGGGTATTTTGCAAACAAATGTGTTTGTAAAACTTTTTTACCATTTATACACGTAGTTGGCACTATCACGTTTAAAGACATAGTACTTGATCTTATTTTTTTAGAAGTTATAGTGCGCAATGTAATTCATATTTGTTTCAGACCGTGAACTTTGTACGCAAAAATGGAGCAGTCAGTATTCGGTCTTTGGGACTACATCATAATGGCGGCCACTATGATAGCGTCGGTCGCAATTGGACTTTATTTTAGATTCAGTGGGGGAAAACAAAAAACCAACGAGGTAAGACATTGAAGTAATTATTTATCAAATAAAGATTTAGGGTTAGCTAGAGCCATATATTTTTATGGCCATGATATAATCTTCTATTTAACGTTTCTG